CAGCAATTGGTGCAAAACCACCTGCAGCTGAGAAGACCAGGGGAGCAAAGCAACCATGCTCCACTTCCCTCACCCTTTCATCGTACTTCCTCTTCTTATCCTCCTCATTCCTTTTGTAGCAACTAGCCAAGGACTGTCCCCTGTATGTGGGAGTGAGAGGGTTAAATACCCTAACATCAAAAAAGGACCTCCTGCCTTGATACCCCCAAAATTCCTCCACAGCAATATCTAAACGAGCACCATCCTCTGTACAGGCAGATCTATGAAACAGACGCTCTCCAGACAAGGGTTGTAAGGATGGTTCGCGACAAACATTAGGACACACATCCTTGAGTAGTGAGACCAACAGATCACGCACATTATTGTGTCTCAATGTATGAAATCCACCATAAGTACAAGAAAGAGCATGATCAACAGAAAAGGCATGTCCACACACACAAGAAGAGGGAAGATCAGGGGGACGCCACCCATATCGAATACAAACTGCATCCCGAAAGGCTCCCTTATGTAAATCAAACCCATGCTCTCTTAAAGGGAGGGCAGTTAACCAAACTGAGGCACCCTTTTCATTGCCAATCTCAAAAAGTCTCACATGCTCATTAGGTAACTCTGACTTAACTAACTCACACATAACTTTGTGACTCTCCTCTTTCTTTTTTAACAGTTGTTTCTTGACCTTTACTGTTTCTATTAGGGTATCAACTGGTAACTGACCATCCCCCTGTAACAACACTTGTACCATAGGATCAGTGACAGCCAAAGAGTCGTGATACTGTTGAGAGCTATGAGTCTTGGGGTTAATTATACCCATACCACCAAATCTTGTGGGTAGAGAAAGCCACTGCCTCTCAGTATCATTAACTGCGTCCTTACCTGTGATGGCGGGTATCAGCACATTCCTTATACACTCCTCAAGACTATCAACAACATCATCAGAAACTAAAACAGATCTACAAAAATAAGTCCAGTGACCATACAGACCATGAGAGAGACCACAGTATGCTGCCTGAGGATGTGATACTGCAATATCAGCTAACACTTTAATCTCATTAACCCACTCCTTTACCTTAGCATTAATGTGCTCTTTAACAAAAGCAGGAGAGCCTATGGGGGAACCTAAAACAGTCACACCATCAGTCACCACTTTAACACCAGTATCTTGAAACAAAGCACATGCACGTTTATAATTCTCATTACTAACTAAAAGTGAAGTCTTGCCTGCATTAGGGAAGTAGCCAAACTCCTTACCAAGCTGAGATAACTTTTCCCACCATGTCTTAAGATTAGATAAAGAACCAGCAGCAGAAGCATCATCTGCATACCATAACTGTGTGACCTCAGACACCTCTTCAAGACTTTTAATAAGGGGCACTGTAGCAAGAGCAAACATGGCCATTGCCAAGGGGTCACCTTGAGTAGTTCCCTCTCTGGATGGGATAGTTTCCTCACCAACAAAGAGAGACACATCATCACGATAGGTGTTAATCAAGACACGACCTAGTGAGGGACATAAAAATAGTATATTTCTGAGGGCCAGGCTTCTATTGAGAGCATTAAAAGCATTTGAAGCATCAACTATTAATAAACCATCCACTGAGCCAGAATCGAATAAAGATCTTAAAGAATGAACAATAGACTCACAAGGAGATTCCTGCCCAGCACACATCTGCCTGCTTCCAGCAACTTCAAGAATCTCAGATTTCAAAATACCCAGAATTGCCTTGCTCATCACCCTTCTAACTACCTCACCAATCCCAATGGGCCTGACACCCGGGTCTTTATCCAATGCAATCAAACGGCAAGCAACCAAAGCAGAAATTCCAACCGGATCAACATAACTAGAACAAATCTTACGAGTAACACATGCAATTGCATCACACAGGTCAGCTGATTCCTTTGCAAAGGAAGAGCAGACCTTCCTCCAGTGAGCAACATCCATTCCAGACGGACCAGCAGCTCCCATGTTCATCTTCAAAAAGCAGTTCTTTATCAGACCCCCATCAATCTGACTGAATTCAAAACCAAGGGGCTCGTGGTCTGAGGCTGGAGTATCTTTGAGTAAGCAGTGAGAAGGAGAGAAGGGAGAGGGAGCAGGATGCTTACTTATCAGCACATCTTTAACTGATACAGGAGGATCAGAACCAGATACTGTTGCAGATGGAAGTAGAGGTAGGCCTGCTGATGACCCAGCATTATTCAGAAGTCTTAGTGCACCTCTCACCATCCCTTCAAGCATCAACTTATGGTTTTTTCCAAAAAATGGCTCAGAAATCACCCCAATTTTTTATTACATTTTCTGATACATATTGATGTCCTTATGCTACATAGAAAGTTTGAGCTGATTCCAACTTAAAATTATTAAGTTATGGCCATTTTAAGAAAACGCCAAAATTCTGAAAAATACTCTGTACTATAGCCCATGGTTTTTTCTAAAAAATGGCTCCAAAATCACCCCAATTTTTTATTACATTTTCTGATACATATTGATGTCCTTATGCTACATACATGTAGAATGTTCTTATTCTGTGTGTGTGTTGTGTGTGTGTGTGCATGCGTCAGATTTTTGTTCCAACTTAAGGTTTTCAAGTTATGACTATTTAAAAAGTACATGTACATATGGCAAACTGGTTTTTGCATGTCACGGATTTGGTAACAATGAAAGGAATGTATTAATTTATTAATAATTGTTATTGCCTCATGTCTGACCCAACTTTAATTAATATTTATTTATTTATTTATTTATTTACCGTATTTCCTTAAATAAAAGCCTGGGCGTCTATTTCCTAAAATGATACTTGGACCTCCAAAAAATATATAAAAAATAAAAAAAACTTTGGCCCAGAGCGGGATTCGAACCCGCGGCCTCAAGCTTTTGACTTTTGGAACTTCAGGCATTGCCCACTAGACTACTGAGTCACTCCTAGGCTGGTGCTGCGTATTTATAGTTTAATTCTATTGCTACCCCGGCGTTTATTTGAATGCGGCTTCTATTTAAGGAAATATGGTATTTATTTATTTCTTCATTAGGTAAGCGTGAGAGGATAGAGTTTGCCCAAACTGTCAATAAATATGACAGACGATTCAAATGCACCAAAAGAGATCTTCTACTGTCAGCACAATTTGTGTACCTCATTGGTAGAGAAAAAGTAAGTGAACAAAATAAAATAATAAAATTAAATTTATATTACGTATTTTTTGAGTTAGAATTATTCTTTTATTTTTTGATAGATAAAGAAGGGATCACATAAAGGTCAGTTTGTTGAAGTTGTGAAGAGGAAACTTCCACTTGAGACAATAACAGCTGTATCTATGAGGTAATTATTATAATAATAATCACTATCAACTTCAGTAACTATTTATGACCTTGATTTTACATGTACATGTACACTCATTGTACAGCCGAAATATTGACAGGAGTTATAACTATTTGATAATTTTTGTACATTTATTTGGTGGATTTTATGTTAATGACCATGTGTCATTGAGCATACTTAAAATGAAGCAAAATGACACATTTATTTTGGTGGCTGCTTGATACATGTAACAATTTTAACAATGTACCATT